ATTGGAGCAAAACAATTTATAATGAGGTGCACAGTAGAATCAGGAGCAAGCTGGCAATACTTTTTTTCTTTCATTCTGTTACTTAGCAAGCCCTTACTGAGCACACACATATGCTACACACTCTGCTCCAAGACCCATCTCTCACTCACCAACCATTAGTCAAGCAACACCATAGGTTCTTGGAAGCCAGTGAACATGAACTTTCTCTTTTGTGTACACAATCAAACAAATAAAAACTTGTGTCAGAGTGTCTTTTGGAGGCTGAACATTAAAACTCAGCCAAGTTCAGCAAGTAGGCTTTCCCAGTTTCCTGGGTCTATTTCTTACTCTTTGTAGATAAAGATGAAGAGCATTTTAAAGGAATGGGTCTTCTGGAGGCAGAATGGTCTAAGATCTGCTCATTGATGGGAAAGCCTTTCCTTTCTCCCTTGTCTTTTGATTTAGGAAGGGGGTATGGTAAATGGATAAAATAGTATTTTTTTTTTTAATTTTTGGAGTAGCCAATGAGTGGCAGAACTAGCAATCAAACCCAGAGGTCTGGTGATTGGAAGGGTGCTTTCTACCATCTCTCTCAACACAACCTTTGTAACAGTCCTCTACCTCCCTTTTTAGACTGGAAGAGACCTTAGCAGAAGAGTGAACTATATATCACAAGACAGTTTTCAGAAAACAGGAAGTTTTCCACAGAGCCCCTGACAGCCCACCCCACTGCATACTGGTTTAGAAGGCCTTGTATATTTTTCTAGAGTTTCCTGTGTTTTACCCCAATCTAAAACACAAAACACTTTAATGTATCTTCTCCCCTGCCCCGATGTAGACTCCTTGAGAAAGGAGCCATGTCATTATTCTATATCCACAGGAATTGGCACATAGTGGGTGCACAAGCCCTTGATGAATGCGGTGGGTTGATGGATGGACAGAAAATGCCCCTTGATACCATGGTCCTTCTCAGTCTCCTTCCTCCCTCCCTCCTTTCTTTCTTTCTTTCTTTCTCTCCTCCTTTACTCCATACTGAGGATCGAACCCAAGGGTGCTCTACCTCTGAGCCGCATCTCTAGCCCTTTTATATTTCTTTTTATTTCAAGACATAGTCTCACTAAATTGCTGAGGCTAGCCTCAAACTTTGGATCATCCCGCCTCAGCCTCCTGAGTCCCCAGAGCCAGCTGTTGGTCTTATTTCTCATTTTCTGGACTAAATAAAAATACCCTTTAATAAAAGATGCCTTCCCTATGTTTTTGGTGTTTATTTTGTTTGAGAGATTCATACTCACAAGAGACTACAGGGGAAGTGAGAAACTATGTTTAGAACTGGTCAGAAGGGTTCCAGAACCTCTGGGCTGTGGTTTTCCCTTCCGGTGGAACTTAAAGTCTTATTTCCCTTAAAAGGTATCTCTGAGATAGGTGGCACTTGCCACTTACTAATCATTTCCCTTAGTGGTCTCACAGGAAAAATCTTTGAAACATAAAGCTGAACAGACTCAGAGTTCCTTAAAAATAACTATGTACAGCTAAGAGAGGTCTAGTCATTTGCCCAAAGTTCACAGCAGGTTGGAACAGGGCCTGATTTCTCATCTGGCTTCCTGTGGTTAACCTTGCTGGGCCTCTAGTGGCCTCTAGCGAAATCTGCCACTGACTGATTGACTTCCTTCACCCAACATTTACGTAGCACCTACTGTGAGTCAAGCAGTGTGCTGGGACCATGCACAGGAAAATTAAAAGACACAGTCTTTGCCCCTCAGAGGCTTTCTTCTCTGACCTGCACCCAAGAGAGCTCCCACTTTTCCACAGCTTTGAGCCAAGGTTCCCGTGGCCTGCAGCATCTTGTTGTGAGCAGAGATTGATGGACACTTAGGCTCCATGCTTTTCTGGGACCTGGTGGGCCAGTGGGTCCCAGCCCCTCCCGCCTACCCTTGGAGCTTGTTGCCGCCGTTACCATCGAACCAATCATGCCAGAAAGTCATCATGATGATTTCAGAACTGCATTGTGAATTATGCAAAGCGCCCGGATAATTACAGCCGGGCGCTCAGAACACAGGACGCATATGCTGCGGGTGTGTGTGCCCGTTTGTGCCTTTTGCCAGGGATAGATTGTGTGTGTGTGTGTGTGTGTGTGTGTGTAGGCGCGCGCGCACACAAATGCGTGTTCAGTGGACATCTTGACACCCGGCTTGATTAGAAACTGGTGTCAGGAGAAAGAAAGAACATTCCGATTTTGATTTTGTGACAATTTGGTGCGTCTCAGGAGTATTTTTCAGAAGCGCTGGTGCTTGCAAATGAGCCAGCAGTGGGGATGTGGGGAGGGGGAATAGGGAGAGAGGTGATTTGGAGCCCAGGAAAGCCATTATTGTCCTATTTCTGAGCCCCCGCACTCACAAAGCAGCTCCTAGTTCTCCTCCTGGCTACACACACTTAAACTTTCCCCTAGAGACAGGCCCGGGTCTAGTCTCCCACCCCTGCCCTCATCTTTGCCCGAGACAAATTAGTTTGACTCTTGAAGTTCTTTGTCCTTAACCAAGCGCCCCCTTCCGCCTCCGCATCCTGATCGTGGTAGTGGTGGCGGCAGCAGCAGCAAGTGGATTTCTGGCGGGAACCAGAACCTGAGGATCCAAAACAGAGCCTGGCATCTTAATTGTTTCTCAAACCCTTACCGGAAATCCTTTTGCTCCCTGGGCGCGGAGTTCGAGCTTGCCTAGTCGCACACAGGGCTCGATGCGCACGCGTCTGCCCAACTTGACCGTAAAAAAAGAAAAAATGTTGATTTCTCGGCTTGTTACCTAAAAAATCTCTTAGGCTATGGCTTTGTCCCGCAATGCTCTAATCTCGTCCCAATTCGAAAGACCGAGGATGACTTAGGAAATAGTCATCCACCTCTTGTTCTTTCCGGGTCGCCCGGGCCCCCGCGCCCTGCTGGCTGCATTGTGAGGAGGACGCGGGATCCGGTGTGCGTGGTGTGCGCCGCCTGGGGCTTCAGGCCACAGCGAGATAGCTGTGGAAAGTTGAGGTCACGTGTTGAGGCCGCCAACCCGAATTAACAGCCTGCGCCCCCTGGGACGCTGGTGGGGGGTCGATCTGCTGCGTTCTCCGTGGGCTCGGGGAACTCAAGCACTCACTTCCATGCACAAATTCTATTTGGAGATTCAAGTTGACACCGAGTCCGGAGAAAGTGGAGGCCGGGGACTGGGGGCGGGAGGTAGGAATTACTTAGCGCTGGCCACCTCTCCTTCACCCCAGAACACCGTGCAAAGGGCCGGAGGCATGACCCCTGACCCCTGGCCAGGCCCACGCCCTGAGGAGAGGCTAGCAAGCTCTTGTTCAACAAGTTCAAGCTGCCCAAAGAGCTTAAAGAGAATTAATCTCTTAGCGATCGGAGATCACCGCTCTCTTGGCGTGCGCTCTCCCAGCGCTGTGCAAGGACCAGGACGCCAGAGCTCAGAAATCGCGGGAAGGCTAGTGGTATGGGGCAGGAGTGGGGGACCTCTCCAGAATCTCTGAGCCTGGAGAGAGGGAGCCAGCGACGCCCGCTGGGGACAAGCTGCGGGAGGGAAAGCTCTGCTTTCCAGCCTCTCCAATGTGCATAACGGAGTCACCGGAGTTTCCTTCAGTTCCGGATGGGCCGGTTTTGCTTGGGAGAAACTGGCGTTGCCCTCCCCACACATCAAGTGCCCAAACCCACCACGCGGAAGGTCGAAGGAACGCGGTGCCTCCGCAAGAACCCGTCCCAGGCCCCATGACCGCACACAGCATCCTCAGCTCTGACTTTTCATAGAGAGTTGCAAAATGAATACATTACTCACCTCGGGCCAGATCCAAGTTTTACCCAACAGAAGAGGCACGGGACCAAGAATGAACCAACTCATGTGGCTATGTCCAGCGTGCACAATCACACACAAACACAGCCACCCCATTTCTTCCACGAATTTATCTGTCTGGCACTCTGGAGAGAGGGGGGAAAGCGTTTTGAGAAAGCCCCATCACCCCTCCCCTTCTCCCTTACCATGAAATATAATAATTCATTTTTATTACAAGAGCAGCACCGTCCTCACCATCACGCACGCACAGAGCCTCACTCCCATATTCACACTCTAACTCGTCAGCTCCGAGAGCGCCTGCATTTTCTTTGGGAGCCGCTTGGAGGTTCATTAATATCATTAGCATTTAACCCCCTCCCTCTTCCCATCTCCTCCCCGCACATGGCTGACGTCAGACCCCGCCAGGAGTTGGGGGAAAAGCTAAGTGGGCCAGGGACGCCCTATTCCCCTCCCCGCGGCTGCCTGTCAGAGCGCTTCTGGAGATATTTCAGAGGACCCAGCCCGCAGCGACAGGCACAAAGTCACGGGGTAATGAACTTCGGGGACCCTTTGCCGCTGCGTGCGCGGCTCTCCCCGGAAACCCGGACCTGGCCGTTTCTTCCCTCGGAAGATTTCCCAGCAATCTAGTTTTCCCACTCGGCTCTCGGGTTCCGGCAGCACGGAGCCCATCTGCCTCTGAGCCTGCGGTTGTGTTTTTCCATCTTTCTTTAGAAGACCAGCGGTCTGTAGAGATCTGCACACTCTGCATGCCTATGTAGAGGGAGAGGTTGAAGACTGAGTGACAGGAATGGGGAAAGAGAGGGATTTTACCCTTTTTGTTCCATAGGCAGACCATTTTTCGTGTCTCCATCTGTCTTTCAATACCCTTCTCGTACTGTCCTCCCTTCTTCAGCCTTCCTGTCCATCTCTCCATCTGTCTGTCCATGTGTATGTCCATCTTAAGCAGCAATCCCAGCAGCCGCAGTTTTGCAAGAGGCGGGAAGAAACTTAAGGATGCTTAAATTTCCACTGTGGAACGAATTCTGAGCACCGGGAGAGCAGCGCCGCGCGCGACCGATACCCACCTGTCGGGCCCCGAAGCTTTGCAGGCTGGAGGGCGGCTGGCGAGCTGCGGCGCCCGGCAGCGAGGCGGGCGCTGCCGGCCGGGACTCCGGCAGTGCCCACCAACCGCTCCGCCCCGGGACCGCCAGCATGAGCAAGCCGGCAGGATCAACAAGTGGGTACCTCTCCCCGCCGCGGTGGGGCCCAGGCGCGCAGCCTGGGGCGGGCTGGCGGGAGGCCGGGGAGATCCTGTTCGGTGCGCTGCGGCTCCTGAGCCCCGGAGAGGGATGTCAGCGGGCGAGTGCCCTTTGGCCCAGGTCCTCGTAGACCGTGAGTCGGATGGTTTCGTGGAGAGTGGAGAGCAATTTCGTTGCTTCTGGATTGCTAGACTCCCCCTTTCTCTGGTGTGGTGGGAAGGTTGCGACCCACTCAGCCCACCAGTCCAGCGAGTTGTTTCCATTTAGCCGCCAGGTGCTGGGGATGGGAGGGGTGCGACGGGGGCGGGAACTGGGCCGCAGCTCCAGGCGGCAGCACAATAACACATTCGCTCAAAACTCGGAGCTCCAGCGCGCAAAAGCAACTCTCTGCAAAGCGGATTTTGAATGGAATGCTTTGCACCCCTTTTCTAGCTATTTCAAATAATCCTGCAAAACTGGGAAGCAGAAACAATTTAAAAGTCACATTTTCTTTAATCCTAAATCCGCGTAGGTCATAACTGGGGAATTTAAAGTATGGCGAACCACTCTAGCAAAGAGAGAACCAAATCCCTAATCCCAAGGACTTTTCGAGCCGAAGCTCAGCAGAGGCAGGAGTACGCGGCCTGCTCCCTCCGCGCGCTCTCTCCTTCCTCAAACTTCCTTAGCCGCTGCCACTCTCACCCACTGCCAACCCGTAGCTGACCTCTACCCACCCCACTGCGGGACTGCAGGGCTACTTGTGAGCGTGAGGACATTTGTGTGTGCAGTCCCAGCGGAACCCGAGAATGTGCAGGCCTGCGCCGGCGTTGGGAAAGCGAGGCCGCGGGGCTCGGATCTCCCCCCAGGCTTTTCAGTTCCCGCCTTCTCCGGGTCGGCGGCTGCGGGTTCCAGTGTACAGGACTGTGGCTGCCACAGCCCTCACACCCCGGAGTTCTCCCGCCGCCGGTGTGGTTTTCTCCTATAACATTTTTGACGCTCAGTGCGTCCTTCCCGCCCCCTCCCCCCTCACTCGCCCTCATTGTCCAGAGTCTTTGAAAGTTGGGAGAGTCCAAGATACTTGTGAGGACTGATAATGAAGTTCCACTTAGGAGGGATGCAATTCCCGCCCCTACCTTCCACCCCCGCAAGAAGTAGGTGGTGTTTTTATTTTGTTCACTTGTTTTGATTAGGGTAATGCCGTTTAAAAAAATTAGAGCAAAGTGAGCGTGAACAAAAAGAGAAAAGGAGGAATATTTCGGGCTAGAGCAGAGAGAAGAGAAGGGATCTTAGCCGCGACCGGAACACACAGTCGACCCTTGCGCAGGACTGGCGGGTCCCTCGGGCCTACCCTTGCCGTCACTGTTAGAATCTCCGGGAGGTGAGGCGGGCTCCCTTTTTGCTGCCCCAGTTCCCGGAGTGCCTGCCCTTCACTGGAGGCGCAGAAGGAGGCCTTTCCTGGGGCATTCTAAGTCTGTTTCAAAAAACGAAGCTCTCGGGCCTGGGCAGGCCTCCTGGCTCCTTCGCCCTGGGACAGGCCCTCAGTTCCCGCCCTGGAAGTAAGAAACCTCGAGCTCTTTTGCCCTCTTGGGGTGCGGAGATAACTGGGGGCTTGAAAGGTGAGGGCTCAGTGGCCAGGAAGTGGGCAAGCCCTCTCTGTGGACTGGACTACAGGCGGACCCTCAGGATTTGGGGGTGGGAGAAGGCAGAGTGGGCACATTAGTGAAACTTGAGAGCTTCCCAACTTGCCAAGCCTGCATTCGACCTTGGAAGCCTTAAGCCCGGCTCAAGTTGGACGCCGCTGCTGAGGTTGCTTAGGCCGGCAGGACAGCAGCCCCTGCCCCCAGCCCTGCTGCGCCCAGGCGCTCTTCAGACCTGTGGCTGCAGCCTGCCCGAAACCTGCGGCCCTCCAGCCGGGGGCGGCGAGGGGGTCGGCGCGCAGCAGGCCGGGTCAGGACCGGGCTGGACTGCGGAGGTCTTCATCTCCCGCCTCGCTCGGCTTCGCGCAGTTGGAGGGCAGAGCGATGTCACCCGGAGCCCCGCCTGGGTGGTAACAAGACCCTGGCCAGTCACCCCTGCAGCCCAGACTAACTTCTTTCAACAGCCTCTGATGGTAATTACAGTAATCGAAGCTGCCATATATCTTTAGGCAATTATGACACACAAAAAGCCCCGAGGGGACCCCCTGGCGAGGGAAGTTAAGAACGGTTTTCCAGCCTGAGGAAACTCCGGCTCGCCTCAGGTCGGAGCTCGCTCGGCTTGCTAAATGAGAGGAGCTTTGCAACAGGGTCAACCAGTGTGTCTCGTGACCCCAAGTCACCCTAACGTGGCTGGGTGGCGGAATCTGAGGCACAGACCCTCTATGCCCAGGAATTTTCGCGTCCCTCCCTCCTGGGCCCCGCCCCAGCCCATTTTCCTGTCCCTAATCTGCCCCAGGAGCCTCGGCCCCGAGGTCTGCCCCCAAGGCAAGGCCGGCCTGCAGCGGTGGCGGCCCAAGTAGCCACCAACCGGGAGTCCGGGCCCAGGGAGCCAGAGAAGGGTCACCAATCCCTTCACCCCCATCGGATTCTCCAGGGAAGTGTGTCCTTGGCCTCCCGTCTGGCCTCTTCCCCAAAGCGGGGAAGACCCCGTCACTGCTCCTCCCACACACTCATCTTGGCATCATCAAGAGTGCCAAGGGGAAGAGGAGGATAGCTGGGGCGACTTTATTGCTGGGCCCCAACACGGACTCCAGCGCTTCCAGAGCGCGTGTGATATGCAGAGGAGGATGGTGGCAAAAGACGGAAACCAATTTTTCAGCTTCCCGAGTGAGAGTGATGCAGCAGAGCTGGCCCGGCTCCTGGGCGGCCGTGAATTCCTCCGGGCTCAGTGACAGACTCCCTGAGGGGGTTGAGGACAAGACCCGCTGTGGCCTCCATGGGCTCTCTCCGGCCCCTCCCTCCCCTAGCACAACCTCCCCTCCCGCCCTGCGGGAGAGGGGGCGCCTAGGCGGTGGCCGCAGCGCCGAGCGCCTCCCCCCACCGTCCTTTGTCGCGGTCCGAATTCCCATGCTACTCTTTTTGACGGGTCACTGGTGGCTCTATAGGCAGGTGCTGCGGCGGGGTTGTAATTACCCGGGCTGAGCCTGGTCGTTACCAACCTCCCCTCACAGCCCGGTCCCCCTCTCTCCCCCCTCCACCTGAAGCTGAGGCCCCGGCCCCGGGTGCAAGCCCGACCCGACGCCTCGGAGTCCAAGCGAGTTTCCACCTGGGATGCCTCCCGGTCCCTCCCCAGGCCGCGTCCTCACCTTCCTAGTTCCCCTCGCTGAGTGGTCTCTGGCCTCTCCCGACCCCAATCTAAGTGCTCTGGGAGCAGCTGTCGAGTTTCCAAGAGGCCTGAGGTCTCCCGGGCCCAGACGGGAGGCCTTTGGACGGATAGCGATGGGAAAATCAAGTGTTAATAAGTTAATTGTTATTAAGTAATATTTTATTAAAGTGTTAACACTTTTAAAAATACTCCCTTTGTTTTACGGAAGGAAGGATTTCTAAATCCCAATAAACGGATTCAGGCACTTGTTGGACTCTTGAACCTTAGAGGAAAACAATTCCCCCCTTTCTGAATTTTTGCATATTACCCTCTCCCTAAATCCCCCAGGGGCCGCGACCACCCCAGGTTCAGGGGGGATTCCAAGTAAAGTTCTCTGGAGCAGGAGTTCAGTGGGGGTGGGGAAACAGCCTAGAGAAATTAGAACCTTAAAAAAAAAAAAAAAATCAGCCTCTGCCAGCGGCAGAACGACCCGGAGGAAGACTCACATAGGACTAAATAAGAGGAGGCCGGTCTTTTAGGGTAAAAGAACTTGGAGAGTAGAAGAGATGGCTGTCCCACGCTATCGTGGGACAACTTAATGTCGCTCTCCTCTCTCTTCCTAGACCCGTGCTACTTTACGCAGAAATTTTTATCCTAAAAAATAATAATAGTTTCTCAAAAGCGCTCCACCAAGCATTTTCTTAATAGGTAAAAAGAGAAAGTTGGGCAATTACCACTACCCTTATTATCATTAATAATCTGAGTATTAGCATCACAATAATAATCCTAATAATAACAACCGCCCGGCAGAGCTCAGAGAAAACTCTCGATTGCCTTCCAGCTGCCATCCCTGGTTCCAGCCGTGTTTGTTTTTCTTCTTTTCCCTTTTACATTTCAAGTTTGTCTCCTCGCGCGCTCACTAACAACTTTGTCTGTTAAATGCAAGAGCTGAGGAGGGAGGCGGCCAAACTTTCCGCGGAGCAGAAAGGCAGCGGCGGGCAGTGCTGCCGCCCGGGCCTGCTGTAATCTTTTATTCCAAAATGGGTCTCGGCGATTAGGGGAGACCCAAATACATGTAGCGGTGCATGAATAATGCTCATTGTAGGAAACTGACACTTGCTCAAGGAAAAAAAGTTTGGCTATAAAATCACTTCATTATTTGCTTTTACCGCAGCTTCGATGTTAATCCCTTCAGAGGTCAGATTGCTTAGCATCTCTCTCTCCCTCTCCCCTTTCCTCCCTCTTCTCCGCCCTCCTCTCCCTCTTGCCTCTTACCGCTCCCCCCCCCCCCCCCCCCCCCCCCCCCCGTTCCCCCCCGCCCCCCGCCCCACACACCCTGTCTTCCCTGCCATTTCAGGCCGCATTTTAGATATCCCCTGCAAAGTGTGTGGTGACCGCAGCTCGGGGAAACACTACGGGGTCTACGCTTGCGACGGCTGCTCGGGGTTTTTCAAGAGGAGTATCCGAAGGAATAGGACATATGTCTGCAAATCTGGAAACCAGGTACCTACCTTAGCCAGGGCTGCACTGCCCGGCTCCCCTCTGATACCTCCCCTTCCTTTGTGCCAAGGCCTCCTCTGCGTTTCCATGCTGCAGAGGAGAGGCCAGGCCCCGGCCTCTCCCTTCCTCTCCCCTCCTTCCTGCCCCAGCTCTGGGAGGCCCTTTGGCTCTGGAAAGGCCGGATAAGATGAGGGAAGACAGATGAGTTTTCAAGAGGAAGTCTGAAATCTCATAGCCTTCCTACACTTTTTTTTTTTTTAATCCCCTGACAGATTTTGACACTGGGTAAGGCCCTTGCCTAGTGGCTACAAGCCTGCCCAAGAGACCTAAGGAACTTTAGAATCTAAACCACAAGAATCAAGCAGGAGAAAGGGCTACCTTAAATTGCTTGCCCACCTGACCCCCATTTCTAGCAGCACCCAGGTTCAGTCTACTGACCACTGGCTGGGATGGCAGAAATAAAGGCACATGGGCATATGAGTCAAGGTCACCACTACTAAGCCTTAGCTACTTGGAAGACAGAGACAGTGCTCTGAGATGGACCATCCCTTTTCAGCTAGGGAGAAGCAGAGCTGTTCTGAAAGTGGATGATGGGGCTTCAGCACCCATGTTACTTTAGCAGGGCCTTGTCAGAAAAGGGCAGGGTGAGGAAGAAGACCCAAAGAGGGTGTAACTGGGCTCCTTCCCAAATTCCCATATCTCCTTCCACCCTTTCTGCTGAGAAGATATGCCTAATTGTGTTTTAGTCTCCAAGAGACAGGGCATTCAGGGTATGAACTGAGTATGAGCCAAAGCTTTCAGACATCGTGAGCTAAAACTCCTGATTGACTCAGTTTACAGCTCAGTTATAAGCTTATTTCAACCTAGGAGATCAAACCTGCTGTTAGTACACTTTGCTCTCTCTTTAGCCAGACATACAGACCCTCAGTACAGAGTCTCTGCCTTCATTCCTGGGAAGATCCCTGAGAGGGCATTAGTCAGGAGGCATCCTTTGGTATCCAAAATGACACAAGGCTTTCACTAATTAATGTATATGATACACATGAGCACATGCATACCTCATCTGATGCTAGTGAATCATTCTGACTTCTTTTTCTGCAGGCATGTCTGCTCATATCAATTTCTGATAGCTTTGAATTGGCAGCAAATACATGAACATATTTGCATTCGGATGTCATTTTCAACTCTTCAGCCCTGTTACCTGTTTAATTGAATACTGAGATCTGTATCTGTTTCTAGCTTCACCTTATGGACACATCACCTTATAAACAGACATAGGACTGTATCCCAGTAGCTCCACAGGGCTGGGATTACTGTGTGTTTTCAGATTTGAACAGGCTTCTACTTTGATAATCTTTTACTTTTGTGCAAGATGCAGAATTGGGAAGCCTCAGATGTTATGCTTGATATTTTAAAAGGAGGTGGCCATCCACACATATTGATTTCAGTCCAAGTATTTATACAGGAGGGATAATAGACTCATCAGGCCTGGTGTTCCTTTTCTTGCGAAGAGAATAAAGAGGCTGAGCTGAGGCGATCATTCCTTCTTCTCTCAGCCTTCAGATATCTATATACATTTTATCTGATGTGAAGACACACTTAAGTACTAATAAAGGTTTCTAATTTGCATTTGCATATTTATCAGAATACTGGGAAGATATCATTTGGGGACAAACCTTTGATTGTATTTAATAAGTTCTTTAAATCTCTTTACATTGAGTTATTATACTGGCCCAAAATGCCCTGAAGAACACTCTTAGAAACTAATTTTTTTCTTTCCTCTCTTTTAAGACTAGGTAAATAAAATTTCAATTTGTCATTAATAGCAATGAAGACATTTAGACATTTTTATGAACTGTCTCCATCTTTACTTTAAACAAATAGACATATTATTTTATTTAGCTTTGTTTTTGGTGCTGGAGATTGAACCCAGGGTTTCATGCATGCTAAGGATGCACTCTACCACTGAGCTAGACCCCTGGCCCAAAGCAACATATTTTTAATTGGAGGAGTATAATCATATAAAACTAAACATTCAAGTGTGTTATTTTCCCTAAGGGATATTTCAGGAGCAAATGTACTTGCTCCTATTTCAGAGTATATGAAGCAAAATATAAAGACATATATTTTATTTTCTTCCTTCCCACAACAAATGCAATGGTGGCAACTTATATAAATATAGGAAAGCACCAAATTTCTTTGATATTTTCTGTGAATAAAATAACTATGCACAGCCTGTGGATGTAGCTCAGTGGTAAAGTGCTTGCCTAGCATACTCAAAGTCCTGGATTTGATCCTCAGCACCACCAAAAGTAATATTAAATAAAAAATAAAAAGTACATATTCCTCTTTATGTATCTATGCATATGTTCCCTCAGTAATTACACCTAACACTAAATAAATTCTGAAAGAAACCTAACCTGTAAATTTCCTCTTTTTATGGTCAACACTTTTTCCCCAGAAAACTGCACTAGGTAAAACACTTATTGTCTTACTTGTGTGGGATAAATATTTCTAAAGTGGCAACTACCCATTTGTCAGTTTTTATGCTAATACTATCTGTCCCTATTATCTTTTTGTCAGACAGTCCAAGTACTTATACAGGAGGGTGTATTTACACAGTAGACATTTCTAGATGTTCCCCAGACCTTGGCCTCTTCCTTTCATCCCCTCATCTTTTGTAGGAAGGCCTTGCCATCCTACGCACTCTGGCTTTTCTCTCACTCCCTGGGAATGCCTGTGTTTCCATTAATCTGAACTGAGGCTAGTTTTTAAGACTTGAGAGCTGTCTCAACAAGCTGGTTATAAGAATGGCCTCAAGTACAAAAGCAAAGGTGAGATAACAGAACAGTGAAGAATGAACGGGAAAGATTTATCTGTCAGATAAATGGGCTCACCCAGAAAGTGGCAAAAGAGGTAGACTGGAGACCTGAAAGCAGAAAGAATAGTTAACAGGGAGGAGGATGTAGGGTGGATCTTGACCCGCAAGACTGCTTCATACCAAGCTCAGGGCCAAGTCGCTGTCTTGGGTCCTGAAAAGTCTCTTCGTTACAAACCATTCTGCTACTGGCGAAACTGCCCTTCGAGGGCTTCTTTCAGCCCTGCGGGATCTGGCAAACCAGGCTTTCTGACCCTTCACCTGCTGAGAGGAGGACTTTTCCTTCTTGTCGATCCGAAGAATCAGGGGCTAACCCACTTGCAGTAGGCCCGGGAGCCCTAGCTCGCTACCTGGCCCAAGTCTCTTTTGGAGAGCCTGCGGTTGCTGCCCCGGGGTCTGCGGTCTGGCGAGGTCCCTATGCCTTTCCTCTCGCCCTGGCACTAGAGGGGGCTTCTAGTCCCCCGGGGGCGGCTGACCTCCTGCACTCTGTTCCAGGGAGGCTGCCCGGTAGACAAGACACACAGGAACCAGTGCAGGGCGTGTCGGCTGAAGAAGTGTTTGGAAGTCAACATGAACAAAGATGGTAATCAGTACATCCCTTTATTCTTCTAATGTTGATTGAGTAGTAAGTAAATTATATATTCACATAATACATGGCACTCCTATGCATGCAAATCATCTCCTGAACACAACCCTTCTTTCCAGATGCTGGGAATTGGCCTTGGGCTTTCAGTCGTATCTGCTTCATCTTTTCATGAGTCACCCACACACCCCACTAAATTCCCCAGGACAAGGCCCATGCCCAAATCCGAAACTTGGTCCCCCAAAGCATCCTCAGAATGTCAGCGTTGGGGGGAACTCACGCAGCTCCAGACACTGCGTTTCCCGCCTGAGTCCTAGTCTTTTCGCCTTTTTTTTTTTGCCATCCCCAAGACTGTTTTCCTCCCCCCAGAATCTCAATTTAGATAATCTCCTTGCGGGGAGATTGCGGCTGAGATGGTGGCGGGTTGGAGAAGAAATTGAGGCACGAAATCCGGAAATTCAAGCTCCTTTTTGCAAATTCACAGATGCCAAAATCAGTAGGTCCATTAGGCGGGTCAAGGCTTTTTCAGAGCCTTTTCTCGGTTCTACAGGAAAGCGAGAAAAGGGGTGACGCCTTGGCAGGGTGACGCCTTGGGTGCCTCCGACACCCAGTTCCCCTTGGGCTTCAGGATGCTTCTTGGGTATACAGAGCAGTCCGAGCTGAATCCCCCATCGTGCCCTGGCGAGGGCCCTCCAACCCCGGGGGTGAACCGGGGGTTCTGGGCGGGAGGGCCGAATACTGTCTAGGGACAGGGTGTCGAGTGGGCCTTGGGGTGGAGGAGGCCTGGGCGGGTGGCAGCCGCCTGAGGCACAGCGCCTCTCCGGGAAAGCTCCTTCCTCCGCTGCTCAGGAGGAAGGAGGGAGCGTCCAACCTGTTGAACTTCTGTATTGACAAGTTGTCAAGCTCGGCGGGCGGAAGATTGCCCTGAATTAATTTGTTTGTTTAAACTGTTGGTGGTAATTGTCACATCTCCCCTGCCTTCCTCCAGCGCACTGGAGAGGAGCTCTCCCATGTCCCATCCCCCAGCGTCCTCGGGGCTCGGGTCCTTTTCTCTTGGGGCCTTGAAGGCCAAAGCTATTCCTTTGGGGGCGGATCTGGAGGTCGGGGGAGTTGTTTTTGGGAGGAGCTGGAAATATCTGTCCAGAGACTTTGTGCCTAGATGTGAGTGACACTCCCTCTCCCCGTCGTGGGGGCTGGGGGGGGGGCAGGGCACTTCGCTACTCCTGCCCAAGAGTCTGTGGTTAACTTGCTAGCCCCTGGGTGAGAATGAGCCCTGAACCCACGAGAACACTTTTAGTTTTGCTTAAAGCCATAATATTATGGTGGCCCTTGGGATACAGGCTCCTCTTCTTGGCCTCAGCTTCCTAATCCATACAATGTAGGAGTTAAACGCTAACACAGCGCCTTCTGCGCTCACATTCCCTCTCCCTCCCTCTCTGCGCCTCTCGGGTGCCTTCCCAGCCCTAATGTGACATTGGGATGGAGGCAAGGTGGCGCTGAGCACAGAGCGGCCAAGTGGGCGGCATCTCTGATCCTGAATGTGTTGTCCGCCTGTTCATCTCTGTAGCTGTGCAGCACGAGAGGGGTCCTCGGACATCCACCATTCGCAAACAGGTGGCCCTCTACTTTCGTGGACACAAGGAGGAGAACGGGGCAGCCACGCACTTCCCGTCCGCTGCTCTGCCAGCTCCCGCCTTCTTCACCGCGGTCACACAGCTGGAGCCGCACAGCCTGGAGCTGGCCGCAGTGTCCGCCACTCCAGAGCGTCAGACCCTCGTGAGCCTGGCTCAGCCCACACCCAAGGTCAGTGGTCTTGCTGGGCCCTAAGAGACTCGAACCTAGCAGAGGGTGAAGTAAGGCTCACCGAATTCTTCCAAATTGTGATGAGTTCAGACAAAAGACTTCCTGGGTGCTCACCTTTAGGCTTCTCACTCTCTCCTCTGAGCCAAAGATTCTCAAACTTTAGTGTAGAGTCGCCCTACAAATGTAGTGTACAGTGGCTACAAATGTGGACTACCAGAACCATAACCCAGAAATTCCCTTTCAGCAAGTTTGGGGTGAAGGCCAAAAACTTTCAACTTTTGGAAACCCCAGCAGTGATTGGTGGTGGAGTGGAGCTTGTCCAACCCCGGGGTGGGGGGTGGGCAGCCTTAGGTGTTCCCAAAGGCCAGAAGAACAGATTTTTGTTTTAGAAAAAAGCAGTCGGCTCATCTGGAGTAAGGGCTCCCAAGTTGTGAATCTCTGTGATCTATTATCTTGGGCAAAGTGGTGGGTCTCCAAAGCGGTGGTGCAAGAGAGAAATGTGTAGATCGCACTGTTACTGCTCCCCTTACTGCCTTAAGAGACACAAGGATTTACATCAAGATTGAGCCCCTACTTGCAGGGTCACAGCCTGAACCACCTGGGAAGGCGCCACCTAGGGACTATTTTCCAGGCCTCCAGTGAATACCTCACCAAGGTTCCCATTCCAGAGGGAGAAGGGCCCAGGATTTTCCCTAGAGGAGGGCCAGCTGCAGCCCCACACTGCAGGGAAGCCAAACACCTGGGCACATACACATGCACAATATTTAATATTGCTTTCTTACCCTTGATGTGTATAATAAGCTTGGAAAAGTAGTGTTATGAATATGTTGTCAGTTATGAATGGGAATGCTCTGTGAATGATTAAGATGTCTAATTGAAATATTTCCATAATATACTAATCCTTTCTAAAAATACTCATATGCATATTTGTGTTTGGGATGCCTATTAATTTATACTTTTTTCATATCTATTTTTATTTACACAAATGCAAGCCGCACTTGTTTAAACTGGGAGACAGGCCTGGTACTTGGCTCAGCCCAAGGAAAATTTCCTGTAGGGGATAGAAAAGTCAGACATCCCTCTGGAAGGGAAAAGCCCCCAAAGAGTGGAAATGGGCCTTCCTCAACAGGCATTATTTCCAAAACTCTGTAGATGCAGATGTGTGGTTTTTACCCACCTATGGCAACTGTACATTTAAGGGGAACCTATAGATTTCTTTCCATCCCCTCCCCTGCTTTATTTAGAAAATCAAAAGTGTAGCACTTCTTCCAAAGCTATTGTTTCCTCACGTCCAGGTGTCTCTCTTTCCCTCCTAGTACCCCCACGAAGTGAATGGTACCCCAATGTATCTCTATGAAGTAGCCACAGAGTCAGTGTGTGAATCAGCTGCCAGGCTTCTTTTTATGAGCATCAAGTGGGCTAAGAGTGTGCCAGCTTTTTCCACGCTGTCTTTGCAAGACCAGGTATGATCAACAGGACACAGAAGTCTTGTGAGAAAGGGGGTTGGGGGACTGTGGTTGTGGCTCAGCAGTAGAGTGCTCATCTAGCGAGGCGCTGGGTTCGATCCTCAGTACCACATAAAATAAATAAAATAAAGGCATTAATCCAACTACAACTAAAAAATATTTAAAAAAAAAAAAAAGAAAGAGGGTTGGGAAGGAAGCAATAGTACTCAACCATATCAAAAGGTACAATACCTCAGTACCTGGATAAATCACCAAGGTAGGCATGCATTTTTAGGCATAATGAAGAAACCATTTATTTTTACCATCATCTTTCTAAAAATTCAAGTTATCTGCCTATGGAATTGTTAGTAAGAAATGCAATTATGTTATTTCAGAAAAGCTGGATCTGATCTATGAAAAACACATATAAGAACATTATCGCTTTTTTAGTTTAATGGAAACATCAAATTTAGCCTCAAATTTTAAAATGTGAATGCTTTTTAAAACCATTGGGAAAAAAATAGTGTTTTCTTGGGAACATTGGAACTGTGAGAAATAGAAGGTGGTAAGAGTATTCACCCATGAGATTTTTGGAATTAGTCTCATCATATCATATTCTCAGCTTTATATTTTCCATTGAGATTTTAAAGATTTTAACTATTGATTCATCTGCATGTGAAATTAAAGAGCACATTGCACACCTCCTGTAGGCTAGCATCTTTTGTGATTCTTTAAGTGTTTTTAGGCATTTTGTAAACAAATAGGCATTTTGCATAATTCTGTGGTTACAATGACATTCAGAGGCAGGAAAATTATGTGCAGCTAAAAATTGCATTGTGCCAAAACCCAGAAATTTTGTTGTTAGGAATATCAATAATGGCCCCTGCCAGCATTTTTCTAACTTTAAGGGAAAGAAAAGAAATTGAGGCATTTACAGCCATTGACTATTACCTATGCATTCACAGAAATAATGACAAATTTCCCAGAAAGCTAATATAAAGGTTTTTTTGTTTTTATGCTTTCCCTCTCCATGCTGGAGATGAACCCAGGGCATCTTATAGGCTATTGCTCTACCACTAAGCTATGCCCCCAGTTCTAGTAAGTAGTTCTAAAAGGCAAAGATTTAACTCTTCATTTTATACCCAGTTAAAGCATAATAGTGAGCTTTAATATGAAATACGTTTCCTTTAGAAAGACTGGGCAGAGCTGGAGATGTAGCTCAGTGGCCCTGAGTTCCATCCCCAGCATCCCAAAAACAAAACAAAAGAAAGACTGGGCAATGTGTTAAAAATATTTTATCTTCTAGCATGAAATATATCCATAATTACATACAGTTTACCTTGCACTTTACAATTATTATTTCCTGTACTTAATATGATAAAACTTAAAAATAACACATTTGAAAATTCAAACTTTCCATTTGTTTGTGATTTTGGTAGCAAGCCTTCATGATTCTTAGCTCCTAAAAGGAAATTCTTTCATATTAATCATTCAGAATTGGCTGAGTTTTGAGAGATTTCTTTCAAAACTAGAGATTTTTTTCAAGCCTGTTAAATCCTATCTTTGACCAAGTTTACTGGTTGGCTCTACGCATTTGCTCTGTTCGTGTGTATGTGTGTGTTTGTATGTGTGCAAATTGGCTATATTTTTTTTTGCTCAAAACAAGTATTTGTAGACTCTTTAATCCAAACAGAATTTACTTACTGTCTGCCACTTAGCCCTAAGCAAACTGCAGTGAAGTGGAATCTAGTATATTAATTTGGGAAAGGAGGCAGATTTTCATTTTAAATATTCAGTAGCGCATTTTATTAGAGTGAAAATGACAAGCACCTTGATGCTGTCCACTTATGAGTCTAGGAAAAATCAGGCAGTGAGATGAGGTAAACTCAGCAAAACCCGATTAACATAATTATACCCTGATTTTCCACATGCCTCTTGGGAATTAGTGATCTCTCTTTCTCTCTCTCCCTCTCCCCCCTCTCACCAACCCAACCCCCTCAACCTTCCAGGAAGATGGGGACCCACACTTGTCAGCTTAGTCAGGAATCCTCTTCCTGACAATAACAGCCTTCTGTACTGGGGAGTCCACCTGCCATGCACTGGTGATATTTCTTAGATCCTGGGTCTCTGGAGAAGTTTCTAGGTGGTCAGGAATGGGTGGATATAAGGACAAAAGGGGTGAATCCTCTTCTGAGAGAAGCAAACTTTGAGGAATTGGAACGGCTGACTCTCAAATGCATGTGCACATCTATAGGCACCTTTTCAAAAAGGAAAATATGGGAAATAAGGGAAAGCTAGATTATTTGGAAAAAAAATTACCAAAGACAGGCATTTAAAACACTTTTTAAAATAATGGAAATTTACATACTGAAATTGTTTATAAATTTATAAATTACACACTATATTATATTATACATCTATTGTATGACAGCTGATGCTTTTGGAAGATGCTTGGAGAGAACTGTTTGTTCTAGGAATAGCACAATGGGCCATTCCGGTTGATGCTAACACTCTACTGGCTGTATCTGGTAAGAATTGCACAATTTAATGACTTTGTTGTAGAAATTACCATAAAAATACATTACTGAAAAAAGAACAACATGTAAAGAATAACAAATTCCTGCTGAACAATAGAGTATACCTGTCATTTATAAATCTATATTTAAATGCAAATAATGTTGTTTTGTTGTATTCATGACTGCTTGCATTGTTATTTAAATGCAAATTACTGTGTTTGTTATCATCCAAGAGAAGATTTTATATTAACTTTCATACAATATAGCCAGTTTACATGGAATCAGATATCTTAGAGTGACAATTGAATAGATATTGATATGCAAGATTTTGTCAAAAATCAATATTAAATCATGAAAATGCCTTCATATTAGAATATTTATCCCGTATTTTTATTCTAGGCATGAATGGTGACAACACAGATTCCCAGAAGCTGAACAAGATCATATCTGAAATACAGGCTTTACAAGAGGTGGTGGCTCGGTTTAGACAGCTCCGGTTAGACGCTACTGAATTTGCCTGTCTGAAATGCATTGTCACTTTCAAAGCTGGTAAGTAGACCCAGATCCCTGTCTCTTCTTCTCCAGTTTTGCAGCCTCATTAATTCAGCCACCTCAAAGTCTAGACTGACCTTCACAAAAAGAGGTGATGTTTTCAAGAGAATTGATCTACTTACGCTGGCCCCATCTTCAATGGCTGTGGTGACCCGCATGCTCTCCTGATGGGGACCCATTTCCAGAGCAGTGCATTCCCAAAATATTTTCTGTGTTGCCTATCACAGTTTCCTGGTCTTCATTTCTAGTTCCTACACACAGTGGTTCTGAACTGAGAAGTTTCCGGAATGCTGCCGCCATTGCAGCTCTTCAAGATGAGGCTCAGCTAACTCTCAACAGCTACATCCATACCAGGTGACTCTTGTTTGCCTTGAACATGTACTTAAGAAAATTGCTTCCATTGTGAATGTGCAAGCAGGCAGGAATAAGCCAATCTAAACATTGTGACTAATTATCCTGTTGCCTACCAGTTAATTTAGTTAGAATTTATGTCCTCACCCATCTCTCAGGGTGGGTGAGAAGAGCAAATCAAATTAGGTGATCAAAGTGAAAGCTTTGTGAGAAACATTACAACTGTCCTGGATGAACAAGTTGACCAACCAAGATAGTTAAACATGTTTGCATGAATGGATATGGGAAGGATCAAAAGCCAAGTCTAAAGTTTTATGGTTGGTATATTAAATAATGGTTACATTATTCTTGATTAAAGGTAAGATGCCTTTCCTTAGATGCCACTCCCAGTAGAAGGACCAGAGAACTTTCTAGAGAAGCCATCTTTACCCCTAACATAACTGCTATTTGGCTTCAGTGATGGGTATCTGTCATTTTGGCTACTAGCAACCACAGGTTACTTCTGGCCAACCAGGGCCCTCTGGTAGAGGCTGCCCTAGCTATTTGTAGAAACTCTTCAACAGCACTGGGCAAGCCCACCAAGAGGTGTAGACTTTCTGATTCCATTTTCAGATGCAAAATGGATGCAAGAGCAATTGGAGCCTCTCTAGCTTCCTAAGACAGGACTGTGGTGGATATGAGATAGAACAGAATTGGCTATTCTTGTTTATTCTCTAGACTGATCTTGAAAGGGACCTGGGAAGGCCTGCCTCCATCATCTCAACATCAGCCATAGACACTGTGGTGGGAATAACTACATGAAATGGATAGAGGCCATCGGTGCCTCCCTCACATGAGTGGTCGGAGAAATCCCAAGTCAGCTCTATCAGTTTGGAGTGACACCATTTCTGCTAGGATCTCCTTTTTAGTATCATAAATCCTCTTTTGAAAGCTGAATGAAAAAAAGTTTACCTGCACATGGAATATCATTGAAACTATGTTGAAAGACAGTGTATGTGTATATGTTTTTCCAAAGTAAAGTGCCGTAGTTTGAAATTTAAAATCCATGTTGAATTTCAGAACATATCTATAGTAACAATGTTTGTTCAAAATGACAAAATGAAAAAAGCAAAACAAAGACAAATGGACTAGTACATAATTTGCACACTTTTCTCCCACTAAAGTCTGACGTTTGACATTTAGAGCTGATAGGATATTAAGAGCACCAAACTAAGAATGGGATGCTCAGCCTTTGGTTCAGTCAAGCCTTTGCTGAGTACTTGCCATGCACAAGGCTCCAGGTGGGCATCGTGGGATGCCAGAAAGACAAAAGACATGCCCCTTTCCATTATGTACAGTGGGCAGAGATGTCACTCCAGTTCACACCAGAGAGGAGAGAAAAGTAAAATGGGAAGTTGGAGAGATCAATTGGAAGGGGGTGAGGAAAATCTGGAAAAGCTGACTGATGTGAGTTGGTCCTTGAATGGTGGAAGGATTTCAGCAGGGAAGAGGGGGTGCAGCAAGCCAGTCGGTGAGCTGGTGGCAGTGTTGTGGGAGGTGCCAGAGAAGTGTGCCAGGGGGAGGGCTGGGAGCCTGGCACACCAGAAGCTGCCCACAGAGTGGTCCAGGAGAATTCCATTCTTTCTATATAAGAGAAACAACTAGTCCACTACATCTTTTTCACTCCTCAAGGAAATGATCTGTAGGAGGACTACTTCTGCTTCAGCATGAGTTCTTATTTCATGATAACAGCTACAGCTATAGCTTAATATCTAGGGTCATACATGTGACATAAATGATGATGTATTCCTTAGCTCTTTCAAATCAGTTAGTCTTCTTTCCTCCAGCACTTTCCTGTCTAGGAAAATAAAATCTGAAATTGAAATAAAAAGTTAATGTGCAAATTGAGCTAATTGTTACAGCTCTGTAAATTATTTCTCTATCTAGGACATCAGGAAAAGGCTAGAAAATGGCATTTCACAAAACTATGTTATAACTGAAGTTCAAATACAGAACTCTGTGGTAGACACAAAATGTTCAAAATGGGAAAAGAAACTTCTTATTATTTGTGCTAATGGATGAAGTCAGAGCTATAAATGTTCTAAAAAATAGTTTTGAGCAGTTAGATTTTGTCTCTCTCACACATTGTTACTGTTTCTGGGTGGTACATTACTCCACATGTAATAGACAATTAATTCTTGTTGACTGACGCCAACCAGCCTTTTCCCAAATAGAGAATAAAGGAAGTGGGTGAGTAAATAAGTGGAAAACTATTCATAGAAAGTTAATAATTAGGGGCTGGGGATGTGGCTCAAGTGGTAGCGCGCTCGCATGGCATGCGTGCGGCCCGGGTTCGATCCTCAGCACCACATACAAACAAAGATGTTGTGTCCGCCGATAACTAAAAATAAAAAATATTAAATTAAAAAAAAAAAGGCTTTAAAAAAAAAAGAAAGTTAATAATTAATTATCTATGGATTCACCAAAAATGTATACTTTCTGAGCATCATTATTTCCCACAATGGTTTCTTACCATGGGCAATGGTTGGCCTATGGGGTGGATGCTGCAGACAAGGTGCAGCTTGTCTAAGTAGCCTCTGCCTCAGACCCTCTGCATGAAGAAGGACTGTTGATGAGAGAAAGTGGTCAAAGTGACAGAAAGACATGAGACATGGGAGAACCCTGGCAGATACATTCAGCAAGGAGAAAAAATGATGTATTTTATGTTTTCTTTTGTTTTAATGTAGATAAACTTCATTATTTTCCTATCACATTTTTAAATGTGGTCTGGTGGCCCCTGTCCATGGTGGTCATGCATGAAGTTGGGTAGTGTAAGAGCCAAATGAGGTCCTCAGAGACCCATAATGAATTATATGCCTCGTATCCAGTTGAAGAGAGAGACTCTTATTTATTAAGAGACAAGAATGAAAGTTGCTCCCCTGGACTCTATCTTCAGGGTGGAAATACCAGGCAATTAAACACAGCTACCAAATTCCTTTAAAAGAATTTTGATATCTCTGTTTCCAGCACCTTGTGGATTGGGTTGAACTTGGCTTAGTCACACAGCATGCCCTGCAGCTTGTTTTTTTAGGTGGTTTGTTTCAGTGGAGGAACCCCTCCTTGTGGAGTGAATTGATATCTGATTTTAAGCTATTGGTAGGGGTATGGGGGCTGCAGTGAGAAGGTGGCTTACAGGCATCTAAAGACAGCAGGAAATTGAACTTGCACATCTGAGTACAGATGTATGTTGGACATCAAGAGAGGAAATTGTTAAGCAATTTCTCACATATTTAATTATATGCCAATTTCATTGACATGAAAGTTGGGTGGCACTGCCACCCAACAGAACTTAGTCTTTAATTTGCAGTGTAATAAGGATGGAATTATTCCTGAGAGTGACTAAGTATAATGCCTGAATAATAATTTGGAGAATTGCTTAGAAAAAGAAACCATTTAATTTGAGGGAAGTAGCCTTGTGAAGGAGACTTGAGGACTAGAAAACGAAAGTTCTATTACTGTCTTTATCATCAGCGCCATAGTCATTTTCTACAGTGGCAACGTTAAGTTTGTTATTTGGCTTAAAGTTGGTATTATGTTTCTTAAGACTCTTCTTTTTCTGAACAAAATGCAACCCCTTTGCTAATGCAGAGAGAGTCACCGTGTGATTTGTGCCGTGTCGTTAATCTTCTCCGTGTCTCAAGTAGTCCACCTGCAAGACAGGAACAGTAGTACCTGTCCAGGGCTCTCCTGCAGGGGCAGGATGTTATTTAAGAGGCCCACATCAGGGAGTTATACTGGAAATGGTGTGTGTTCAGGTTCAAGATGTTAATTCCCATTTGAAAGGGGCTCTGACATTGCTCTCACGGCTTCTCATATTCCAGATACCCCACGCAGCCTTGCCGCTTTGGAAAACTCCTGTTGCTTTTGCCAGCTTTACGTTCTATCAGCCCATCAACCATAGAAGAAGTGTTTTTCAAAAAAACCATCGGCAACGTGCCAATTACAAGACTGCTTTCAGATATGTACAAATCCAGTGATATCTAAGCTCTCAAAGTACCCACTTTTCAGGATGGGACAGTATCAGATGAACTTCTACCCATGGAGAACAAGCCTCAACTAACAAACCCTTCAGGAAGCAGAAACCTGGGAATGTGTAGCCTTCAGGAAAAAAATGCCAACTGACACACAACAGTTCCAGTAGCTAAGACCTGCTGCCTCCACCAGGGCAGGGCAGCCAGGAAGGAAAGGGGATGCAAGAGGACTGTGTGGCAGGAAGTCACAGCTGCTGTGCCCTGGGAGGGGAAAACTGGGGGCTGCCACAGGCCGAGCTGTTCTGCCTCTGACCTGGAAGATCTGGCCAAGCTTCAAAAGCTGAAAGACGAGTCGTACTTTCCTTTCCTTATTAGCACATAGAGTTGGGTGATCCAATATAGTTCTGTGTATAACATCGTACTGCAGCCTTCGGAACTATGTTATGTTGGAGAATTTATTTTAAAAAGAATGGTTAGGTTTGAAATCAAGAGTATTATCAAAAGTTTCCCTTCTATTGTAATACATCATTAAGTGGCCTTCAGAACCGAGTTAATACGTGAAAATTAGCTTATGCTGTGTGATTTGCTTTTCCTCTATCTCCTTTCCCCCTTTCTCTTCTTTTTTTTTCCTTGTCTTCTTCTCCACACCCCCCCCCCCCGCCAACTTTTCCTTTTCCTTCTCTTTTAATACCATAGGCCAGGCAACCTTGTCAAAGGAATTGGTGGACATAAATGAGATTCTCACCAGGATTTCAGGTTGGATGACATCTCAAAGATAGAAGAGCTTTACTAAAAAGAACACAAGTCGAGGGAAGATGAGTAAAAACAGCAAAACCAAATAAAGTGGAGATGAGTGATTGAGTGAGGCAGATTGCTGTCCCTTTAAGGTCGTGCTGAAACCAAAGGCAATGGGGTCCACACTCGTGGTTCAGCAAGTCACAGCAGACGGTAAACAAAAGCGGACACAATGCCAGAAGGAACTTCAAGGAGATGAGCACCAAGCAGTTTCCCTATTGATCCATTGCTAACAGCCTGAGACTCTTCAATGCCTTTCAGAAAACTCTGGTTTCTAGTAAAGCCTTGAATGCCCGCGCGCGCGCGCGCGCACACACACACACACACACACAGAGGCACACACGCACGCGCACACACACACACACATGCACCACATCATCCTATGCTATAAGCTGCTCCTTTGGTATGAATCTATACTTATGGAAATGTAGAAACAAACATTTTTAAATAGCTGCTGTACTTTTCACATTTTGATTTATTAGGTACTAGCACTGAGAAGAAAATTTCAGCACTTGGACTATCATAGGAGGAGTAAAACTTTTCTTGTACAAAGTGAATTAACTGATTTGTGAAGTTAAAAGGTTGTACTCATTGTATTTACAAAGAATAAAAATATATTGAATTTAAACAAACTCTGCCTGATTTCTTTACCACCCTCCCTGGTGGGTTCTCACTCCCCAGATATGAGGTGGCAGCAGCTACAGCTGCTGTTAAAACCAAGGCTCAGAGCACTGCAGCACAGAGCTGAAGGAACAGAACCACAAAGGCAATTTCCTTTTTACAGTGAATCCCATTTGTAAAATGATGAATAAAGAAATAAAACATAAGATTCCGTTCTCTACAGCTCTCAAACGTAATTGCATCTGTTAGAAAAATTGCTGTGTGAGGAAGAAAGAGGCCGATTAACGGTCTTCATTCCCTCCTCTGTTTCTAACTCTCTTGCCAACATTTCAGTCCTGACCAGGAACTTGATATCATTGAATGATCAAAAAGATAAAGCTTGAAGATCTCCACTGTTAAGTAAGATGTGGAAGGAGCCAGAGACAGTCATCCAGATGTTCCCAGCAAATCTCAGGACACTGGTCCCACTGCCAGAGGCCAGTGGTGGAAATCCAGCTGCCCAAGGTCATGGCACTCTGGGCTCCTGAGTGGCAGCCCCAGCAAGGGTTGCTTATCCCTCTGCCTTTGGACAGAATGACCTTGCAGACCTGTATGTGTGAAAGCTCCATCAGTCATGCACTTTTCTACTGATTTCACAGAGAAAAGCAAGGTTGGGCGGAGGAGATAGCTCAGTGGTAGAGCACTTGCCTAGGGTGCATGAGGCCCTGGGTTTGATCCCAAGTCTCTCTCACACACACTTGCCAAAAACAGAAAATCAGAGAGGTACTCAAATATGTATATATAAGAATGTCCCTTTCAACTCTGTTTGTATTTAACAATTAAATGTCAATCAACAGACAATAGATACAGTAGATAGACAGTGTAGCTAAAGGGCATGACTAGAGCCCACACTTCACCAGGAGTTTTTTTTTTTTTTTTTGTACCAGGGGTTGAACTCAGGGACAATTTACCACTGAGCCACATCCCCAGCACACACACACACATCCCATTTTTTAAATATTTTATTCAGAGACAGGGTCTTGCTAAGTTGCTGAGGCTGGCTTTGAACTCGTGATCCTCCTGCCTCAGCCTCCCAAGCCACTGGGATTATAGGCTTGCACCACTGCACCCAGCTTCCTCATGGGTCTTGAAGGGAGAGGAGAAGTGAACTGCAAAGGATGCATACAGCTTGGCATCATTTATATTAGGTTTTACAATCCACAGAATAATACTAGATAATGTTTATGGATATATGAATGTATTGCCAACATTTAAAATGTGCATGAATATTTAAGATAAATGATAACTCATGATAGTGGTTACCACTGGGTATTGGTGGGATTTATGAGGGATACCAAGAGGATTATAAAATGTTTCTGTAACGGTTTACTTTATAAGGGAAAAAGTCTGACACACCTATGAGATCAAAGATAAGATTTGGTAAATTGGGTAATGGGTCTGAGGCTGTCCATTTATATATTAGTCCAGTTTAGTTTTAATATTTCTGGCTAACAAACAACACCAAAAGTTTGTAACCACAAACTTAATTCCTTGCTCATAGGATTGCCTGTTGCCTTAGCTCTGCAGGGCTTGGCTCCAGGGCTTCCTCATTCAAGATTGGCAGCTTCGTTCTCTATAGCAGCTTCTTCTCATGACAGCAGCTGAAGTGCAAAAGGCAAGACCAACCATGCAAATGCATTTAAAGATGCTACTTGCCTAGATTTGCTCACTTTTCACTGGCCAAATCCAGACATAAGGCCAAATTCAACCTCAAGAGGGCAAGGGAGCGTTCTCTTCCTATGGAGGTGGGACAAGGGGAGGAGATTCACTGAACCATAATAAAATCTAGTACAGTCATAATCTACTTCAAGTAGTTTCGGTAAAATTAAAAGGGAATAGGATTCCTATGGCAAGCCATAGGATACTGATTCCCTCTGGAATGTCTTTGTCTGGAGGCATCTCTGCCATTACAAACAAGAACCAAATCTGACTCTCAACTTTTGAAAAGGCCCAGAAATAAGTAGCTGTTTCTTCTAGATTTGGGGAATTTCTACTGGACGTACCCTTAAGATGACTTCCTTGGGTCCTTTAAGACCCCCTTACTCTCATAGTTTTAAGATGGACATCCTCTAGTGGCTGGCGTAACAGGGGAAGTTCTGCAGTGGTCTCTGAATATACAGGTTCAAAATAGACAATTTAAACATTCGTATGAGAGAATGAGCCTGTACTGTAGTCAAAAACTGCAGAACTTCCCCTTTGGCAGATGGGTTTTCTGAATCTGGGAGGGTCCTTTTTCAAGGGTTATTTCTATATCACGACCATTGGGTAGGAGCCTTACTTACATTTGCATTTGAATGATTTTTACTTGTCCTTTGATGCCAGGAAGAGGGAGAACAGGAGATGTGTTCAGCAACTGAATGGAGACTTTCAAATTATTTTACTTACAGTTTCAAGTTTTTAATCAAATCAAGAAGTCCAAGAACTGACCCCATTGGCCAGAGACCTGTATATGGCTGCCTTTCTTAATCATTTTTATAAAAATGGAAACACCCTACTTTTCTATAAACTTTGTGTATGTTTGTGCACATGCATGCACGTATGTGTGCACGTGTGTGACTCTCTTCTAGTGGGTACACAAGGCTCTATCTCATTCAATTTATCTGCCTAACATTCCATTTTACAATACACTCTAGTTTATCCAAGTAATTCTTTGTTGATGGACTTGAGTTACTTGCAGTTTTTCATTATAACAAATGAAACTGCAAAGAACCAAGCTTCTATGTACACTTTTGAGGACTTGTGGGAGAATTGCTGTAGGATAAATTCTTAGAAGTGGTGTTTCTGGGTCAAAGATTATATGCATTTTTAATTTTGATAGCTACAGCCAAATGGCTCTCCAAAAGGGTTGTATCAATTTGCACTCCTGCCAAGAGGGTATGAGAGGGCCCATTTCATTGCTCAGAATTTAAAAGTGCTTAATCAGACACAGGCTTGATGAACACTTCAGAAGCTATTAGAAAAATACAGAGAATGCATATGTTTCTATTATGAAAATGCCTCTTTTACAATGCATATTGGACTGGCTAAGTAGGTCTCACCCTGTACCCATGGTCAGAGCTTGGTTTCCCCATATTTCCAGCCCAGGCCTCTTCTTCATTAAATTTTGGGAGTATCCATGTCACAATGAAGTCAATACAAAGTAGGTGAGTGAAAATGTAGAAATAGCTTGTCTGATGCTTTCTGTAACTAAGATGCTGATCTAAGAAGCCCAGTTACATGGGGATTAAGTGTAGCTCAGAGGTAAAGCATGTGTTTAGCATATATGAGGCCTTGGATTTAATTCCTAGCTTAGGTGGAAACTAAAGAACATTAACTCTCTATAACTAAATAACTCTAAATAACTTTTACCACAAATGCCAAAATGGCTTATTTTCCATGTAGTCTGTATTTTTAATGTTGTGAGATTTTTGGAACTCATTTGGAACATGAAGTAGCCTTTTTCTCTGAATACTGCTGACCTTCACAGACACTGTTCAAGAAGGTCATCAACACTTTCAGCTGCACACTGTCAGCTGGGCTTGTCAGCAGTGTGGCAGAGAGCAGACTCTCGGATGAAGA